TATTGTTTTCATCTTTAGTTCTTCATATCTCATTTAGTTTTTACCTACATGAGCAGTAATCTTCAAGTTAAACAGCAATAAATAACAGTGGTAAATCATTAACATATATTTTAAACACCTCGAGCAAAGTATGGGACCCACGTGATCTTTGAAATTGCAACAACTGTGTTAGGCATCACATTTTTTTCAGAAAGTTAATGTTTAAATAAAAATTCATGTAGGTTTACTGTGGCAAGCCTCATTATTTTTCACTAAGTCACTTTTTCAAATAGAAATTTGTTTAGTTCAAATATGCCTCTTAGAAGACAAAAATATATTAGGCACTAGAATAGAATACCCTGAAACTATTGTAATTTAACTGGCTTTCTAACTAAGCAATAAATAGGTGATAAAAAATTCTAATTAGCTGCTTGGAGCTGACCAAAAATGATCAGGCATAAGTCATCTGTGGTGAATTGTCTAGATCTCTCTACCAAAAAGAAATATCCATAATAATATTCTATTGCTATTGGTTATAAACATGACCATCAAATTAGGAAACACAATGTAAATAAATTAATTCAAATCTATGATAAGGTGGGAGGAACTCAACTGATGGGTGCAACAAATTTATTTATACTTCAGCAATTGGAGAAGATAGGAGGCTCAAATTTTATATTCTGGTCTATCAGTATTTGTACATTGTGTTCCTAATTGGTCAAACACTCTGAAATCCATAAAAGGGAATATAGAAAATCTAAAATGAAGAATTGACACATAAAGATGGAAAATTTATTTATATATATTTCATTTTTGAATTACGAAATTAAAACTTATAATTATAAGCTATGATTTAATGTCAAGTTCATTAACATACATTAAAAAAAGAAGTCATTTAATTAAATTTTTATAACAAGTGCACATTGACAGAGCTGAGATCACAGGATTAAGCATAATGGAAGGTAGGGTTGATGACAAGGATTAAGCCTACATTCATATTTTCTTTTTTGTAATTTATTCTGATTCATGATACTGTTAAAATTATACCTTGTGACTGTATTGTGCTTTTACTTCCTCCAAATTCTAAATGCCCATGCTAAAATATTTTAGAAGGATAAAAATCTGATGATGATATCGATGTTCTTCTAGTGACATTTGTTTTTTTAATTTGAATTAGGGATCAAGAACCATTATCCTTCATAAATGTGAGTTTTTTTCCAAAAAAGCATATAATTGTTTTTTCATGGCAGGCAAACATACAAAGAAAGAAAAACTATGGAAGAAAAGGTAGTTTATGATAACATAGTTTTTCACTGTGTCAATTACAGTGGTGTAACACACATTGTTAAAATGTTACTTCAAGAACTAAACAAATAACCTTTAAAGTTGATTCTAAAAGTACTTATGATTCTTAGTTCGTCTATACTATGTTCAATAATTCTTCAATTTAACACATTTACACAGACATGACATAATTTGCATGTAACCCCGTAAACAGTGATTGAGTGCATAATTAAAATCTGAATTTCTAGACATAGTAAAGTCAAGTCTAGATCACTGTTACCAGATTTATAAGTTCTGACTTTTTATGCTTGGCAAATGGTGCCTACTTGCCAGGCAGTCTGATTAATGTCTTGTAGAAAGACCTCTAAGCTATAAAAGTATTTGCTACTGTTATTGCAATATAGAAAATTTAAATTCCAGTTGATGGTGAAATTCTATTACTTTATATCTAACATCCTTTTAGATTTTATTGTTGTAACTTTTAACTTCAAGTAAAAGTTGTATAGTTTTCAAATTTTCTGATAATCAGCTATTTTATGGTGCATAATTCCAAATTGTTGGCCACATAATTTTAATCTTTTGACACATAAAATTTGATGTCCTGCATAACATACTTCAACAAAGTATGTGAGAATTTTCAGTTTATTTTTTTCATAGATCTCCTAATAATAACAGTAACCAGCTGTACACAAGAAAAAGAAACTTCTAAGCTCAAATGTCATATGAGTGTATTTTAAACTTAAGAAACAGTTTTTCTTACTTGCAGAAAAAATTAAGTTTATAGGAAGCAGTAATATTATTGTAAAACTAGCCACTATGAAACTACAGTACACCACTGATTTTTCCGGCAACTGACAATCCTGCTCCTTTTTAAATCTGGACAAAATTACGAGATCACACTTGAAATTTCTGTGACCGCCAGACTACTTCACTGGGTGGCCACAGATGACATTGTGAGTGACGCATGCTCTTTTGGGATGGATTACTTACATTTTTAAGTAGATACACCACTCTTGTGAAAATTTTCTTATAAATATTAAACTACTGGATCAAATTGCTTGAATTTTTTTTCATGAATGTTGCCAAGAATATTTAGTTTAGCAAGATACAAATATTTAGTCGATTTTTTCTTCAATTTTTTACTACACAGAATGTTGATAATAGTGTATGAAAATTCAAAATATAATGTATTTGAAAATAACAATAATAATAATAACAGTAAAATTCTAAAATTTGACACTTTAGAAGCTGTACTACTGCAACATATTTTGTAAGTACGGTAATTAATAAACTTTTTTGTTTATACTGTACTAATAAACCTGTATCATTTAAACCTACACTAATCTATTTCATTAATCATTTAATTCACATTTAATATTTGTTTTATTTAAGTCAGAGGTGTATTGTTGAATTATTATTACGCGACCTCTGTTGGTCTGGCAAAACGGATAATCAGGCAAGACTCTGGAACCAAGGGTGCCAGAAAATTGGTGGTGTACCAGTACATGTAAGGCTATTTTGAACTTCCTGATGCTACATCTATTAGGTTGTCAAGAAATTAATGCCGCATTTTGGAACACTTTCATTAACTACCCCCCAAAAAACGTACGTCACGTATAATAGTTAAATGAACCACCTAAACATCATGTTAGTGTAGCCTATATATTGTGTAAAGTTTAGTATACTCTAATCCCTTATAATGATGGCACACGACAAGACACACATTCAGCATATAATGCTGTTTAAATACAAGAAGGGAAACAATGCCTCTGTAGCCACAAAGAATATCAAAGACGTTTATGGAAATGTTTTGAACATTCATAAGTGTCAACAATGGTTCAGCAAATTTAGTTCAGGTGACTTTAGCCTTAAAAACTGTGATGGCAGGGGCCAACATGTTGGAATTGATATTGATGCTCTGAAGACGTTTGTTGAGTCTAACCTCGTGAAATGGCCATGAAATTGCATGTTTCTCATGAAACAATACGTAAACATCTAAGGAATATGGGAAAACTCTATAAAAAAGGTGTATGGGTGCCTCACGAACTCTCCGATGATCATCGTTTCCAACGTGTGACCGTTGCTTCATCTCTTCTAAGGTGTAATGTGCGTGAACCATTTTGGAGAGAATTGTCACCAGTGATGAAAAATGGATTCTCCATGCAAATATTAAATGCCAAAAACAATGGCTCAGTTCCAAACAAAAACCACTTCTGACCCAAAAACCTGGAGTCCATTCAGGTTTTGGTGATGCTTTGTATTTGGTTAGTCATCAAAGGAGTAATTTATTTCGAACTCCTCAATCCACAGTGAACTCTCAATGCAGAGATCTATAGTCAGTGACTGGAATGTTTAAATCAAGCCGTTCATCAGAAATGCTCTTCACTCGACAATCGCAAAGGTGTTCTTCTTCTCCACGAAAATGCACATCCACATGTGACACGTTTGATGCAACACAAGATTATGGAGTTCTTCCCTACCCACCCTATTCTCCAGATATGGCACCATCAGATTACCATCTTTTTGATTTGCTGCAACACCATCTTAATGATGAAATGTATGCAAATGTGGAAGGTGTTAAAGAAGACATCGACATGTTTTTTGCTTCAAAGCCAAGTGATTTCTTTAATCAGGACATTAACAGCCTGGTTGTAAGATGGAAAAGCATCATCGATAAGAATGGAAACTATTTCATTTAATAAATGTTTTTTATATATATATATATATATATAAGTTGTTTGGTTTTTTCTCTAAAAATATTAATTTCTTGACAACCTAATATTAAAGAAAGAAACTGTGTAGGTGTTGCAGCAAGCTCATATAGGCACTAAAACTTTGCATTTCTAACATATTTCAAGTAATGTGTTTGTTTCTGAACTGTATCCTTCTAGAAATGCAAAATTTTCATGAGAAATATATTCTTAGATGATGAAACAAAATGTCAGTGCTATGTAACTAGCAGTGTGATATATTCAAAATTTGAATAGTTATCCCACATTGGGGTGATAGTACCGTGTTTACTGTTGTAAATTTTAAATTCTGTTCTAAGAGTGTTTTTAGTAAGAACCTCAATTCATTAGCTGAAACTTAGTATTTTATCTCTACTATAAAATCAGTGTGTGCTTTAGATATTATGATCAACTTGTGCAAGCTCAACAAAGGGAAAAAGTCAGGATATGATTTATATATTGTGATTGACTTATGAAGGCTAAACATAGGAAAAACAAAAATCAGTGTGTGTTAAGTATTACAATTAACTTTTACAGGCTCAATAAAGCAGAAATAAGTCAGTGTGTGCTTTAGATATTATGATCAACTTCTATAGGCTCAACAAAGGGAAAACAGTCAGTTTGTGCTTTAAATATTATGATCGATTCCTGTAGACTCAAAAAAGGGGAAGTGAAGTCAGAGTGTACTTTAAATATTACAGTCAACTCTTGCAGGCTCAACAAAGCAGAAACAAAATTACTGTGTGTTTTAGATATTATGGTCACTTTGTTGGGCTAAACAGGAAGTGATAAAATATACTTAAGAATGCTTATTTTGCCCTTGAATTATTGGAATTTTGTTAGAGTTGTGTTATTCAGTATAAATTTATTTGTGATTTGTTTTTTATGTTTCTTTTTAATATCCTAAAAAATCTTGTTAATTTTATTAAAAATTCAATGTATCATACTACTTTATATTCTAATTTGAAAACTTCTCAAAATCATAGAATAAACTTTGCTTTGTTTCAGGAAATAGAATTAAGCAAAAAGAGACCAGCATATATCAAAGCCAAAGAGAGGACAGCCCATATGCAGAAAAAACTGGAATCTGCAAAGTGAGCCTTTATTTTTATTGGTTTGATTATCTGTAAACATATCTGTATTAGTGAGCTTTGATACTAGTAACTTTTAATTGAACTGATATTCATACAGTTTTTGTTTTTTACAACTTGGCAATGAAAGATATGAATTAGATTAACTGCCTTCTGTCACTTATTACCTTATGGTTTCATCCAAGTTTTATATTAATTATAGGGTATTTTTTAAAGTTGCAAATGAGTACAACAAAATAATTCACCAGATGTTTCTAGAATGTACAGAATCAGTTCAAGTTTTTATGTATTTAATTTATAACGAAATAAGTCTGTTTAATAACATTTGAATTGTTGTTAATTGATTCACTTTATAGTTTATTATAAATCTTTTATATTGCAATTCATGTTACTCTTTACTGCATGAGCTACAATGAAGAACAGTTCATAAAATGTTGCAGAAATTTAATTTTCATTTTTACAGTAATCAGTGAACATGTGAAACTAAAATGCAAAAAATATTTTTATTTTTTTTGTATTTAACCTCTTCTGTGGTGAATGTAATGTTATTAACATGTATTTTAAAAAATTTTGAACTTTCAATATCTTTATTTTGTCACTTCATGTTTCACTCCTTAACATTCCAGATACCAGTCATCTTTTCATTCATTTGGAAAAACCTTAATAAAGCTTCGAAATAATAGATTCCTCTTCCTTGTTCCCAAGTGTTTGTCATTCATATTATTACAGAAAATCATTGAAAGCTGCAAAAAAGGTTCATGAAGCTCATGAAGGGGAGATTAAAGAGTTGGAAAATGAACTGAAAGAAGTAGAAGCAAGACAGGAGGAGTTTGAAGAGCAGCTTGCCCAGGAATCAGAGTCTCAGGGTCGAGATCTCACTCTTGAAGAATCTCAGGTAGTTAAAGTCAACTTCTTCAGATCTGTAGAAGAATAATATAATAAACATGAATATTTCTTTGTTCCATGAGGTTCATACAAAAGTTCATGTGATGTTTTCAAAATTTAACACCAAAGTTAATGTTTTCAAATTCTTAAAGACCAAATGAACAAGTTTGCCATCATTGATCTCTATTCATAGCAAAAATATAACTGCATTTTTAATATAAAAATAGAAGAGTACATCAAAAAAATTAAAATAAAAGTAGATTATACATGTAAAAAACCAAAAGGCAACTAACTTTAATAAAAGTAGTGTTGCATATGTAACTTACACAGGTTTAATCACATTTTATTAGAATTCTAGCTGATGTACCCTTTCAGTGCATAGGAAAGACCGAGGGGATCAGATCAAGAAGCCAACCACCCATGTCACCCTCAGGCTATAAGGGTGCATGACATGTTTAGTAACAATCTTTCTAGCAGTTTGCTGGATATAAGCAAACACACACACAGACTTTTGTCAAATAATAGTTTAGAAGTAATATATGGGCTTGTCACAACAAAGTGCCATGGGCAAAATGTTTAACATCTGTATATTTGGTCTTAATAATCAACAATGCAATGCCACCATAAGTATAAAAACCTTAATAAAAATATTTGTACAGTGGCTGTGTTAAACATCCTATAATCAAACAACACAACTCAATCCACAGCGAACTATCAATGCAGAGATCTGTAGTCAGCAACTGGAATGTTTAAATCAAGCCATTAATCAGAAACGCCCTTCACTCATCAATTGGAAAGGTGTTCTTCTCCACGACAATGTATATCCACATGTGAAACATTTGATGCAACACAAGATTATGGAGTTGGGTTGGGATGTTCTCCCCAACCACTCTATTCTCCAGATATGGCACCATCAGATTACCCTCTTTTTTGTTCTCTGCAATGCATATCCACATGTGAAACGTTTGATGCAACACAAGATTATGGAGTTGGGTTGGGAAGTTCTCCCCCAAACACCATATTCTCCAGATGTGGCACCATCAGATTACCATCCTTTTTGTTTGCTGCATTGGAAGAGAAAAAACTTGCACAGCATTGATCTCCAAAACCACACCTCAACCGAAATTGGGATTAATGCCCCTTTCCACAAAATGAAATGGTTATGAATGAGAACCCCCTTAACCCAAAAGAGGCATTACGATTAAGCTGGACATATCTGCTGGTATTATTAATAAGATAAGAACTTGAAGTTGAAAAAAGCTGATAAGCCAAAAGTGTACAAGATTCCAGCCTCACCTGGTAATCGGTGACTGTTTTCGTGAAAAGGTTTGCTGGACAAACTAGAATCATTTGGCCACATCCTGTTAAAGTTGATATTCTCATGCTTTTTGAAAGGACTGCAGAAAGTTTGTTAATGTGTGTAGTCTATAATTGACTTCACAATCCTTCACTAACAGAAGTCTGTTACAGCAGATATTACTGTGTCATCAGACTATCTACGATTGATCATAGAGGAAACAGTTACAAGCGCAACACAGGTCTTCAAGTGTCATTCTTATAAAATTCAATGAACCTAAGTAAAACATAGAAAATACATATGAAAAAATAGAAGCCACTAACTTCAGCAAAAGTATCCTTATATACTGGATATAAAACACTTGATATAAACATAGGAAAAAGTGTTTGAAAAAAAAGTTGGAGAAATGAGCTTTATTGTAGGAATGACATCAATATTAGGCCTAAGTATCTTTCCATGTTAATTTTAATTGGTATGGGTGAACTGGTTTTAATTTATGGAATGCTTTTTTTCTTTTATAAGTAAAATGTTTTTGATCAAGCTATCACTATAGAAACCTATTTTTCAAAAACAATTACCGAATGTCTCGCATACCATATGCAATAATTAAGTCACATTACATGTTTTTCATCTAAAGCCTTGTTCTAGGTTCAAGACTAGCACAGAAACCTATTTTGAGAATCAAAACTAACAGAGACCTTGTTTTAGGTACAAGATTACCAGATACCTTGTTCTAGGTTCAAGACTGATAAAAACCCTGTTCTTGGTTCAAGACTATAACAGAAACCTTACTCTACGCACAAGAATTGTTCTTAGTTCAAGGGTATAATATAAACCTTTCCCTAAGTCAAGACTGCAACAAAAACCTTGTTCTGTGTTCAAGACTGCAACAAAAACCTTGTTCTGTGTTCAAGACCATAACATAAACCTTATTATAGGTTCAGAACTCTAAAAAGAAAACCTTTTTCTTGATTGAAGACAATGACTGAAACCCTCTTCTAAATTCAAGACTATAACAGAAACTTTTCAAGATCTTTATTTAAACCTTATTCTAGGTTCAACTCTATCACAGAAACATTTTTCTAGGTTTCAGACTTATTACAGAAACCTTGTTCTTGGTTCAAAACTATGATAGAATAGAAACCTTGTTCTAGGTTCAAGAGTCTCATGAAAACCTAGCTTTTGGTTCAAGGCTATAACAGAAAAGTTTTCTTGATTCAAGAGTATGACAGAAACTTTGTTCCAGGTTCAAGAATATAACAGCCTGAAAGAAGAAGCTGGAAAATTGTCCTCTAGGTATCTTCAAGAACTTGACTCTGTAAACAGAGAACAAAAATCTGATCAAGATCGTCATGATAATGAGCTTCGAAAAAAAGCTGAAATGGAGGCTAAAGTCAAACAGAAACGATCAGAGTTAGAAGAGAATGTTCGTCGAGTAGAAAAGTTAAATGAATATATCAGGTTTGTTGAAGCACCTTAAATATATTACTTGTAGTCTGCATGACTTGACGTTTTGAGAATAGTTTTGTGGTAGCTGTAAGTAATGCACAAACAAAAGAAGTAATAATGTTTCAGGCAAAACAACCTTTAATAAAGTTATTGTTAATTATGTATTTACTAAATACTAATTTTGTTCACTAGTGTCTTGAGGAAGCATAAAGTCTTCCTAAGAATAAAAATAATACTAAACTGCAAAACATTTCTATTAATTTGTCTGTTTTATATTTCAAAAGAGAAGCATGTAGAATTGTTTTAAATTTATTTTTTTGTATGTTTAAGACACAGCCCAGGATGACTTTCATTCAATGTCAGAACTCATCAGCATTTACATGTTGGCAGACAAAAAAAATGTGTTAATAATGCTGTATAATAATGCTTTATAATTTTGTGTATTTAGATTTTATAGTACTTAATTACTTTGACACCATTCTAGGTGTCAAAATGGCTATTACCAAAGTTTAACCAACTCTGTGAACACAGCCTTTTTATGTAAAATCTGTATATTTACTAAATATCATTTGTAATGATCTTCCAAATGAAAACCAAATTAAAAAGAATCAAGCTGGTTATGCACTCTTGTTTCTAGTCTGAAAATATAAATAACCAAATTTACCTCTAACTTGTGTAATAAACTCATTAGAACTCAGATATGACTGTCACTTCTGTAATTATAATGTGACCTCTTTCTTCTGTTGAAGTAATTCTTAACAGCATTCTATATTGAATTTTGATTAAGGTACCAAAGTAAGAAGATCAAAATAAATAATCACAGAACTTCCTCTGAAACACCTATTATTAATATTCTGTGTATTTAGATTTTAGATGTACTGCAACAACTAAAATGTTTTGAATGTAACATTGGAGAAGCAAAGCAAATACTTGTTTTCAAAGAGTATGATGTTATAAAGTATAAATAATCTATACAAAAAAACTACATAAGACATTAACAGTGCTATAAATGGTCAAAATTAAATGTTGGGTAGTTCAGAAAATCATTATGTTTACTTACTAAAATAAAAGCTTGGTTTTTAATATGCACCTATCTACATTGAAAGAACTGCTCAAAGACAATTGTTTGTCAATTTATCTTATTTTTTATTTAAATTATCAGCATAATACCACTAAAGAATTATAGTTACATGTACATGTTAATATTTTCTTTATCTAGATAATTATCCTCTTCATACATGATCGAATAAAATGAATAAACTTCTTTCTTTTTCTTAATCAGTACATGATTATTATGAAATTGAAAATTCTAGTATCAAGTGACACTGACATTTAAGATCTGATACCATATGATGCTATCATGTAAGAACAGGTTAACAATATTTTTTCTGGTATGAAGCTTTTAATGATTAAACTCTTTTTAGTTCATGATTAGAAGATTTGTTAAAGATCACTAGATGTTTTTCAGGATGTTCTCTTACTAAAGAAAGTAATAATTCTTGTAGGACAAGTGAGCAGGCTCTCTCGGATCTAATGAAACAGGAAGAAGGATTTGGAGAAGAAGTACAAGATGCCAAAAAGCGTGTTGCTGAAATCAATGATGAGCTTGAATCTATCATGATTGAATTAGGTGATGCTAAGGTACAAAGAAAAATCAAGTTTGTGTCGGTATTTTGTAATTTATGAATTAAAACTAGTGAGGAAGAAACATTGGTACATTAATATATTTTCTCATTGTTGGTAGGTGGACAAACATGAAGATTCACGTCGGAAAAAGAAGGCAGAAATTGTTGATCATTTCAAACGTTTGTTTCCAGGAGTAGTAAGTATGATTTCTTAACTTTTAATTGTTTTTGATAATAGGTGTATTATAGATAATGGTACTGTAAAGAGATCCATATGTAGTCTGAGACAGCATCTCCATTATGAATACAGTGAGGAACAGATTTTTATATTCCAGTTTTTACCATTTTTGTTAGATGATAAACTGATATTGCCTACAAGTGAAGCTTGAAATGATCTCCTAACACCTGATTAATCTAGCATTAAAATCCATTTTATAATAATTTCAGATTGCTCCAGTGTTAATAGGCTTTTATTTCAGCCATTTCCATCAGTTAGTGTAAGTACATTACCTATTTTCTTATTTCTTCTAATGCCAAATTTTTTTGTTCTATTCAAGCTTCAGCTTGAAGATCAAATAAGGAAAAACCAGTTTTATATTTATTTGTTAAAAGTTTTTCAGATGCACTTACTTTATGAAAGAAAGAAATCAACTTTGTTACTATTGTCACAGTAAAACTTTTATTAGACTGTTGTTCGCTGTTTACAAAACCCCAAGGTGACTTAAGTAAATAATTTGTGATCTGTGAGTTTGCTTTAATTTTCTTTATCGACCCTCTCCAAAAAGTACTGTTTTTTTTTTGTTAAGCCATGTTTTATTCTGGATTTTGAGTGTTTCTTCTTGCAAAAAACAACTTAATACTGTAAATTTTAAGTAAGCATTGGCATGTACATAAAATTTAGATTTGGAAATCTTAAGGTTTTGTGATTAATATTGCTGTCATTTTTCAAAGATTTTTGCATATAATTAATTTTTTTTCTTTGCTTCAAAAACTAAATAATTGAATGTCATTTAATACTAAAATACCTTCCCATTATTGGCTCACAAAATTTAGTCTTTTAGCATAGGTGATGGGGTTTAATTTCGAATTTATAAAAGGATTGGAAATGACTATATATAGTGTAGTGATCTAAAACCTTAAATGTACATTGTAGGCTCTTCTGATTTATTTTAGTATGATCGTCTTGTTAACATGTGTCAGCCCATTCACAAGCGATATAATGTAGCCATCACTAAGGTACTTGGAAGGAACATGGAAGCCATTGTGGTAGACACAGAGCGTACAGCTCGATCTTGTATTAAGTATTTAAAAGAACAGATGTTGGAAGCTGAGACATTTCTTCCACTTGACTACATTGATGCCAAGCCTTTAAAGGAGAGACTAAGGTAAGGTAGTTGTGGATCATTAACAAGTTTACCATGCACATTAATTCATATTTAATGATACATGTTTAAGTTGATTACTGCCACTTTGATTACTAAGATACTTTGGCAACTCTAGATTTTAAATCCTTTTGCTTGAAAACAAAATCACAGTTTGTTAGTCCTCTGATTACTGAAAACTGCTTGAGCAACTGATTTTGCTGATAATCTTAAACTGCTCTGTTTTAATAACAGTTCTAAGGACTAGCTGCCAGGTGATAATTACATTTCATTGTAAGAGTGAATTGCTGTTCAGTTATTTCTTGTTAAAAATAAACATTAGGCCAATTAAGCTGCTGAGATCACAAAAACATACTAAACTTTGACATTTTTTAATATGAAAAAGCTAAATAACTATGAATTCCAATATTATCATTATTGCTTTACATCATTTTCCAAAGTTCTGGATGCTTCTTAATGATTTTTCATGATGTATTAAGCAATTCTGAGCTAATTGAGGTGTTCTGTGCTTATATGCCTAGAGACTAAGAATTATCTTCAATAACTACTTTCTCTTAGTACTGCTTTTAAGTTTTCAATTAAGTTTGGCCTGTAAAGCTTTGAGAAAACTTCTAAATGTTGTTGATTGAGGTTGGCTAACTTTGGTGCTCTGAAAGAAAATTTATACATATTAGTAATTGAGAATGGCTAAATTTAACGGTTCATACACATTATTGGTTGGGATTATGTGACTTTGGTGATTTCCAACTAACAATTTATACATGTCTCTGATTGAGATTGGCTTACTATGATGATCCACCAACAAGTATTTCCTACAAGTCATTGGTTGAGACTAGCTAACTATGGTGAACACCAACAAGAAGTTCCTACATGTCATTGGTTGACAACAGCTAACAGTAGTAAACTCCAAGACACTTTTGAGACAAACAAACTGTGGTGAACTCCAATAAACATTTCTTTTGTGTTATTAGTTGAGATCAGCTAATTATAGTGAACTTCAACAACAATTTCTAGATGTCAATGGTTGAGATTGGCTAACTTTGGTGAACTTCAATTGATATTCCAACCTTACATTGGCTTAGACTGGCTAACTATGATGAACTCCCAAAACTAGCCCAAAATACATTTCATTAATTGAGATTAGCCAGCTTTCACAAGCTTCAACAAACAATTCTACATGTCATTATTTGAGATTGGCTGACTTTAGTGAGCTTCAACAAACAATTCTACATTTTGTTGTCTGAGATTGGCTAACTTCAGTAAACTCTATAAAAAAAAATTATTCTTGTCATTGAAATCAGCCAAATTTGTGAACTCCAACAGACAATTCTATTTGTCATTGGTTGAGATCATCCAATCTTAGTGACCTTCAACAAACAATTATATTTGTCCTTGATTGAGATAGCCTAGCCGTAGTGGGTTCCAACTAGCAAGTAAGTTAAACTTACAAGGTTGTGGGACACATTCATATATCAGTGTCACTGCAGTGATGAAGAGAATTGGACTCATTTCCATATATTTGTCTGGAAAAATCAATAGGAGAATTTTTGTAAATGTTTTTTTTATATAGTACACAAAGACTGCCAAGAAATGTATGTTTCTATATAATTTTTACAGTTTTCAGCTGGTTTAATCTTCTTGTTTGTTTATATGTATGTATTCCACATCAGGGTAGTTCAGGTTGTTTGTTTATAGATATGTATTCTTCATCGGGATAGTTCAAGTTAATGAATGGATGTTGTACTTAAAGGGTTAAAAGCCAGGTAACTATTTAACATATCACTGAAAATCATAAAATAAAAAGTTGTGAATAATTTTCTAAGCTTTTCTTTGTATTGATTTGAATTGTCTTAGTAAGCATGTATTTCTTTCAAATTGTTTCATACTGGCAAAATCAAATTAGGAAATAAAATGTAAATAGGATTTAAAGTTAGTGTTTTTAAGTTCCACTGCTCTGTGTTTTTGTGTATTTTTTATTATAGGTTGGTTTGCATTAAAATGATTTCTGTGACTTTTTTTGAATTGGTATTGCAAAGACAAATCTATTTGCAACAGAAACATCCAGTCTCCTCGGAATGTTAAGCTTCTCTATGATGTTCTTCAGTATGATCCTCCTGCTATCAAGCGAGCAGTGTTGTATGCTACCAACAATGCTCTTGTCTCTGAGACTGCAGAAGATGCTTCAAAAGTTGCATATGAATTGGGTGATGGAAAACGATATGATGTAAGTTGTCTTTATCAAAACTGTCAAGTTATTTTATTATTTGAGAACGTACTCTAATTTCTGATAATGTATGAAAGAAAGTTGAATTTTGAAAACATACTTACCTCTTTCACACTTATAGCTATTACTCAATTGCCAGGGTTTCTTCCTTTGCTCATCTAAGCATTGGTCTGATTTTTTCTCACTTGCTCCAGTCTTTTATATCACACTCAATTGCCCTTGACAATATATGTCTTGTAACCCTCTCCACCTACATCAATGCACCCTCTAACCTAGTACTGTATATAAGCACCTCATTCAGATAATGTTATCACTTTTTCTTGACAAAGCCACACTAATGGGTTTCCCAGTATTATGATCAGAGATACTTTGAACATTATCCATGTTATCTAGCTGATTTTTGTATTGATAATAAAACTTTTTTTATTTCTTCCAATTGGCAAGCTGATTATAGGGGGTTACTCTTGGTTGAGACTGTCAGTGATCTTATTCATAGTGAGCTGGAGACGTATTCGGATCTGTGGTGGTCCTCTGGGGAGCTCTGAGGCTGCAATTGAGGGCAGTCCTCGACATTCTGGAGAGAATTTAAATTAGCTTTTTCCTGTGCCTTCTTTTAGTCTGTTGGCTTTTCAGACTTGGACTCACAGCTCTGGGGTCCATGGTTTGATTCCCTAGGGTGGATATGGCAGATGACCCAATGTTACTTCGCTCTAAAAAAACACATTTACCTCACAATACACTATTCCAATTATAGTAATCAACACAGTCTTTAAATGACCTATAAAAAAAAAGAAACGAGGCAATATTGGGATAAGCTGCCTTTGATTTGTTTTCTTCTCTTGGTTCTTCAAGAGTTGATGTTTTGGGCTTTTTCCCAGTTACTTTTGAGCCTGCACCTTACTTGATGGCTGAAGGTCTGGGAGCAAATTTTTAGTTTTCTCTCCATTCAAGGATATTGTGGTTCATGCTGGAAGGTTTACTTCTCAGTTACCTAAAGTGACAGTTATGCCTTCATGATTTAGCCTACCACCTCCAGGTGGAAGCATTTTCAAACTTTCAAATAATACATCTACTCCTCGAATTTCAGAATTCTAAGGTGAAATTTATAGTTAACCTGAATAGATCAATGTATTCTGATGAGACAGGGTAAGTCTACAGGCTTACAACTCTTACATTTTGTTTTTCTTTCACTTCACGTTGTTGGAAGACTCTCACAATCACCAACTTTATTAATGACGAGCTGGATCCATTGTTAGTATGAGAGTTGGTTCAGTTTTCGGCTTCAACATTCCTCCCTGTTGTTGTTGGAGTCTCAAATTTCATCGAACTCCTACAGGGGGTTATAGTTCCACCCCTGCTCATGGGTCCCAACCCCCGACATCAGCCCCTCAGTATATTGGTACCCAGAATAGATTCTGTCTATATCCAAGGGTTCTGCTGCTAGGTTAGTCACCAGCAGTGTCAGTGATTATTGTATTTCTTCAGGGTCTGTGGAGGCTTGGCTCCAAGAATTTCTTGACGTGTGGTAACCTTAACCATGCATCTGGGAATGCAGCAGGTCCTAAGTCAGACTAGTTATTCAGTTCACATCTTCACCACTATTATCCACCCAGCCTGTAGGGTTTCCATCTCTCCAACATCATCAGGATTTGGAACTGGAGGTAGTGAAAGAGTCGTGCTAGTTCTTCTGAAATTTTATTCCTGTCTGTTGTTGGGCTTATGCAGACAGGAGATTGGTGTCCAATCATCAATCTTTCTTGTCTATATCAATGTCTAGGTTCTCCAAGGTTCACAAGTTACTCATTCCTCAGTCTGCGTTGACTTTTTTTACTTGGATTGTAGATGTCCAAGTTTGTTGCAGTCAGCTCCTCTCTGCACTTTGCCAGTGTTTGTTGTACACAAAGGTCAGGTACTGCAGTTCAGCTTCTTATGGTTTCTGCCATATTGTATAAATTTTTTCTCGTCACCTCTATTTCATTGTACCGTGCACACGCCATTCCATGGATTACTGGTTACTGCCGGCACCATCTCATCAATTGTCAGAACATCACATTGTGATTATACTTTCAGAAACAACCAAGGCAGTCTTCCTTTTTAAGGCTGAGACATCTATTCTTGCTCCATTTCAATATGTCATCAGTCTGGGTACATTTTATTTTTCGTCTTGTCTCTCAGTCAGGCTCAGCTGACTCCCATTTGGCTCCATGCTATGGGATAGTATGCCACACTCTTACCTCTCCTTCTCCCACTGCACAGATGGTTCTTTCTTTTCTGGGAATGTGGGCATCACTCGAATCCCTTGTGCCTTTGGGACAAGAGCACAAGCGATCCTTTTGAATCTTTCCAGACAGGTCATGGGTCAAAGGCCATGTCATCGAGTTTGTTAATTCACATTCAAAATTTTATTGAACTACTTTTTCAGGAATTTATATCAATAAGTTTGGTATCAAATTGTAGATTATAATTCAAATTTTAGTATTATACATTACTCAATTTTTGAAGTTAAAAATGAATATTAAAAACACAGTTAAACATCAATTTTTGTGTGTCACATGGTATATTGAATACAGCACTGGTTCAAATTAGAT